AATAGATAAGTGTATTAAGATACTTTCTATTTGCTTTATTTACTATCTCCTATATTGGACTGTAAGTTCCCTGAGGGCAAAGATGTCCTCTGTCTTGTCCAGTTTGGGGTTGCCATCATCTAACAGGAATAATACACATTGTGAGTATTCAATACATACATATTTGCTGAAGAAATTTTTAAATTACACAAATAAGGTGTTAATGCCTTAAAATTCTATATAGAATACTTCAGTGCTTTTTCAACCCAAAATTCATATCAATTATGAAAAAAGAGCCTCTAAAACATAATTATTGTATATTTAAAATTTGATAGTTTTCATTTTTTTATTCACACTAAGATACTATCTTTAGAATCACTGTACTTTCAATATACGTTTACTTCCCATCCTATAATAGCTATTCCTGAAGCCATATGCAAATCACTATTTAAAATAAATCAATCATATATTTCCATTGATCCAACAATTTGACAATTTTTTAACTTTCTGTATTTGTTTTATGATTCATCTCAAATTATCTTTTAAACTCTTAGCTTTACAATTTTCCAACTTTTCTCTTTTAAGCAAGTAGGCAATCTTTAAATAAGCACTTAAATAAGCACTGGGAAAATACTTCAAACTCTTTTGATGAGTGTTAATTAATTTGTTCCAATTTTATATGTCATGATTTCTTTTTAAACCTTAATTTTTTTCTTAATTCAAAAACAATTACACAATTACTTGAGTATTCTCTTAAATGATAAAATATACAAGGTTAACAGTCCACTACAATCTGGAAATGAAATATGATGTTATACTTTGAATCTAATTATGAAAAAATAAACTAATTCATTTAAGGAAAATTCTTGCAACTAATGAGCTAAGCAGAACTTAAACAAATCTTTGAGCTTTATTAGGATAAAACTATCACTTTTGAAGGATGCCTGACAGTGTAATAGTTAGTCATTGGGCTTCAATTTGTAAGGTAGGCAGTTTGAAACTACCAGCCGCTCAGCACTTTAAAGGCTTTCTACTCCAGTTAACAGGTAGAATCTCAGAAACTTAGGGGCAGTGGTACCCTATCATGTAGGTTTGCTGTGAGTCAGCATTGACTCGATGGCACTAAGTGAGTTTTGTTTTCTTGTTGTTGTTTACTTCATTTACTACTAGAATGGATAAACATGAGTTATTTTAATATTTCTATAATGTTTTTCTTACACTAAACACAGGATCAGGATCTGTGAGAGAGACTGTGAGTTTTTCACAGAGAGTGGTCCAATTTTCACAGTTCAGAACATCGGATGGAGGAGCTGAACATAACGTCTGCAGGGCTTCATATCGCACCTAAGATGTTTTAAAAGATGTGTATCAATACCGAGCCAGTAAAACAATACCAATTCTACAACCCAATAGTTACTAAACTACTTAAAAGCAGAGTCTATAAAATTGTTTTAAAGGGTTTAATGTCTCTTTCAAATGATTCTCTTATAAAGAGTCTCAAAAAGTTTTATGAGCAATCAGAAGCTGTTTAATAAAACAACCCTTAACTATTTCAATTAAGTGCTAAGCAGAGAAAGAATGAAAAAACGGGTGATTTTTGTTTTGTTTTTTAAAGTAAAACTTAAAACCCTAACTATGCGAAGAGAGTCTGGAATGAAGATCTAGCTAAGAGAGGATCAAGGACAATGGCTTCATAGAATCACCAGGGCATACTGTCCAATGGCCTTACCCCAGACTCCTCCTCCTCTCCCGAAGGCCTCCAAAGGAGGGCCTACAGATGAAGAGGCTTAATTTTCAAAAGTTGCCCAGATGTCCCTGGTGAAGCATTCCCATTCCAGTATACATGAACAATTTTCACAAAAACAATTCCTTTGAACTTATTATAGTTGCCGCTACATCATATTTTCTGACCTTCTAGCCACTGAGGTAGAATTTTTAAAAATCATTCATCTATGGGATGCAACATTGAATTTCTGTGTTTTCACAGGCAGCATATAACTTACAGTAATCACTTTCAGAATCCAATCAGAATTCATTCAATACAATTTGACCTAAGGGACAGCACTGGAGAATAGCTTCACTTGGAGCAAAGCTTCTCCCTGACTCACTTCCACCAAATGAGTAATCACAGTGATTTCAATCTATTCTTCAAAGACTAGCCATTTCTCAGCTGAAACAACTGAAGCCTACTGATGAAGAAAATGAGGAGTTAGACACAGCGGGGTCAGTCCTCAAGAAAACAGACTGAACTTTCAAGGGAAGAAGAAAGCATATATGTACTTGAAAATGTAAAATCCAATTATTCAATAGAAGAATCCCTGAATACATTCTATAGGATGGGGATAAGAAGGAATACAGACAGTTTCAAACATTAGGTATTAATTGAGAGTGTTAAATGATTTCTCCTTTTCAGTTAATTATTAGGACATAATTTAATTCAGAACTTATTAATTTAATAAGCAGAAAAAATATATATTCTGAAATCAATTACCAAGTATTTGTCTTAAACTAATAAAAGTAAAATTGCTACCATGTGAAAGTCAAGTCACACTTTCATTAGCCTTTGGATATTATCAATGATTTACTGAAAACCCATAAAATAAAACAGAATGCTGAGAGAGAAAAAAAAGTATTGTTCTCTCTCCTAACTTCATATAGTTGAGACCCTTTCTGGAGTAATGGGTTAAATACTTAGTTATTAAACAAAAAGTTGGAAAAAAAAGTTGGTTATTTGAGTACACCCACAGTATGTATCTCAGTATCGACTTTACAACCCGTGGCTCCCACTCTAGTCTGAAACACACAAGGCTGCCATGAGTCAGAAGCAAATCAACAGCAACCAGGTATTTGATTGACTCATTTACTTTCCAATGAACGTTCAAGAAAAGCAATCATTTGTTTTGACAATTGAGAGCAAATGGCAAGGTAGAAACAAAAGTCTTAAGTACTCCAAAATTCTTATACTTTCTATTTCATATTGACAGACTTTCATACAAAATTCAACAAAGAGATATCTTTAATAGCAATAAAAATGTCAAAATTGCTTACATTTCCTGTAAGTTAAAAAGAGAGATGGAGCAATACATGAAGGTCTTATTTGTTTTCAAATCAATGAACTAAAATATCACCTTAAAAGCATCAATAAAGGAATTGTTTTAGAGGCAGCTTCCCATAACTTCATCCCTTTAAAATTAAAACTGGAAATAAAAATCTCTGCTTACAAACCATAATAAACCATGAAGATTCTCTAAGGAAAAGTTCCCTCACTCTGCAAGGTTTCATCTCAAACATGAAGAAGTCTACCACCAGGTACATCATGCTAGGATTGTCCAGTAAAAAAAGGGCTTATTCTCTGAGAAACAGTCCAGCTGCTACTGATTATAATCTTGTATAATAAATATGTGATATTTGACTGAACTTGACAGTTCATTTACACTTACCTCTTTAGGTTGCCCGGGATCCAACTGATCTAAAATCAATTGTAATTTTCCTTGACAAAATTTGTAACTCTGTAACATAATTGACAGAACATTTATTAATTTAATAGACTTTTAGAAGTAAAGCTATCCGTGATTTTTCAATATAGTTCTAAGCACAAAATACATTCTGAATAAAAGAAAAGAAATGATCTATGTTGATCTGACAGCAAACTTACCATTTTTGTTTCCCAAGGCATTTAAATGGGAATTGAATGTCCCAGTAGAACAGTGCACTCTCATGTATATGAAAACTATTATTATTTGCTAAGCAATTACAATATGCAGACTGTGATAAGAATCAAAAGACATAAAGACAAAATATTTTGTAACCAGGGAATATGAGATGAATGAAACACAGAGATAAAATAAATAACATACATCAGTGGAAAGGCATTAATAGTACCCTAGGCATAGCTTGAACTTTTTGTATTCCCTTTCTTTCCTATGTTTTTCCTTAGTCTTTCTGCAGGCTTATTCTTTGGTTAAAAAAAAAAATCCTGGACTAAAAATTTTCATCTACAAAAATTTACACAAAGGAAACAGAGGAAAGATCTAGGAAGCAAAGCTATGGAAAGAGGTATAAAGATAGGTATGTATATATGTAAATATATTAATTCATAAAAATAGAGGTATTGGCCTATGTACATATATTTACATAACAATACATTGACAGGTGGGTGGACTTTGGACCTCTGCTCAAGCCCTCCCTCAAGGCAAGAACACTTGGTTCTAACAACCTGGCATTCTGTGTTTCTCATGCTCCCAACACAATTGCTGAAGACAAAGCGGGTGCATATGCAAATGTGGTGAAGACAGCAAATGGTGCCCAGCTATCAAAAGATATAGTGTCTGGGGTCTTAAAGGCTTGAAGTTAAACAAGCGGCCATCTAGCAGAGAAGCAACAATTCCAAATGGAAGAAGCACACCAGCCTGTGCGATCATGAGGTATCAGGTAATAGGCATCAGAAGACCCCCCCAAAAAAACATCTTGTTAAAAACAAGGGAGGTCAGAGCAGAGACCCAAACCCTACCTGTAGACAATAGGACATCCCCTTAATGAATGATCACAAGGAAGGGATGAGTCAACCAGGGCACAGTATAGCATGATGAAACACACAATATCCCTCTGGTTGCTTGAGACTTCCTCACCCACCACTATCATGACCTCAGTCCTGACTTTCAGTTCTGGCTAGACCAGAGCATGTACACTGGTGCAGATAAGAGTTCACAACACACAGAATCCAGGTCAGATTAACCCCTCTGTAACAGAAATGGGAGTAGCTATACCAGGAGGGTAGGGGAGAAGGGGAAAAAGAGGGAACAGATCACAATGATCTATGCATAACCCCATCCCCCACATCAGGGGACAAACAACAGAAATGTGGGGGAAGGGTGACAGCAGTCAATGTAAGATATGAAAATAATAATAATTTATCAAAGGGTCACAAAGGTGAGAGAAGTAGAGAGAGGGAGGGGAAAAAAGAGGAGCTGAAACCAAGGGCTCAAATAGAAAGTAAATGTTTAGGAAATGATGGCAACATATGTACAAATATGCTTGACACAATTGATGCATGGATGTTATAAGAGTCTCCAATAAAATGATCTTTAAAAATATAATGCTAAATGAGGAATAGCAATGCCGTTATCATTTGTGAAATAAATAAATAAAATGAAGTGAATAGCTTCTGGAGATGAAAGGAGCCTTTTCTCTCAAAAGCTATTTACATATATAAAATACCTTCTTAAATGACCTAAATATTTTTAATAGCAATAATAATAGCTGGCACTTATTCAGTGCCTACTATATTACAGGACTTATACTCTCTCAGATCCATATGGGAAGAAATAAGGCCAGAGTGCTCCTTAGTGGCAAGGATGACAAGACTTCATCTTACAAACTTTGGAAATATTGTCAGGAAAGACCAGTCCCTGGAGAAGGATGTCATGTTTGGTAAAGTGGAAGGGTGTTGGAAAAGAGGAAGGCTCTCAACGAGATGGACTGACACGGTGGCTGCAACAATGGGCTCAGGCATAGAAACAACTGTGAGGCTGACCCCGTACTGTGCAGTGCTAAGTTCTGTTGTGCTATGGGGTGGAGCTGACTCGATGTCACCTTACCCTAGCAACAAACTTTCTCAGTGAGCCCTGGAGGTGCCTCTGTTTGCTAACTGAAAGGCTGGTGACTTGAACCCACCAGATACTCAGCAGGAGAAAGATATGCCAATCCGCTTCAATAACGACGGCAGCCTCGGAAACTCCACAGGTCAGTTCTACTCTCGTCTACAGGTTCACCCTAAGTACACTGACTCAATGGCAAGGGGTTTGGTTTGGGATTTTTATATTCTTTCAGTTCCTGATAACTGGGAAATATGAAAGCCACCAAGGGCAAATAACTTCTCTAAGCCACAGGGCTTCCAAAAATCACTTTTCCTTCCAGGTTAAATACTCTTCTTTCTTCAATATCTTTATCCTGAGGTGATCTCATCCAGTTTAGGTTTTGTTGTTCTTGTTTGTTTGCTTGCTTGTTTGTTTTACTCTTAACATAATGATTTGTAAATCAGCATTAATGCCCAGCATTACCTAGATAATTAATCTTTCACAGTGTCACAGACATGTTTAATAAGCATCTCAAAGTTAATTTGTCCAAAATAGAATTCATGATACGGATTCCAAACTTGCTCCTCTCTCAAATTTTCTTGTCTTGGTGAGTGGTACTACCTTCCATTCAAATATTGCCTTAAATAAAAAATAAGAGTCAGTCTTTTTTCTTATTTCCTACATCTAACCCATCATTAAGTTTGCAAGACAGCCTCCAAAGTTTAAATGTCTTAAATGCAATGACTCATCACTCCCTCCCTGCTGAAATCTAGCCAGAGGCATTGTCATGTATAATTTGGTGTTGTTCAGTGCTGCCCTCTTGGTTCTGACTCATAATGAACTTATATGTAATAGGGCAAAGCACTGCCCAGTCCTGCACTATCCTCGCAAGCATAATGTCCTTTGCTAAGGAACTCCTGATGACACGTTCAAAGTATATAAGACAAATCCATCTTCGCTTCGCAGGAGCACTCTGACAGACTTGTTCCTTCAACTGAAAATCCACGCTATATTCGATATTCTTCAACAACACCAAAATAAACAGGCATTAATGAGTCTTTGGTCTTCCTTATCCACTGTCTAGTTTTTACGTGCATATGATACTAACAAAAACACCATGAGTTGGGTCAGGTGCACCTTCATCCTCAAAATGTTATCTTTATTTGTAAACACTTTAAAGAGGGCTTCTACAGCAGATTGGCCTACCTCTTCACGGCTGCTTCCCTGATGTCCACTGTGGATTCAAGTACTCGAGGCTGGACAACTTCAATTCAGCCTCACTGGTCTCCTGAGTCTACGTTAATCCCACCCTATTCCACACAACCATCCATTCCACAGTAACAGAGAAACTCAGGTGCTCAAATTTAGAGATCAAATCTTTTTACTTAAGTCCATAAAAGACATTCCACTTTACTCAGGATAAAATATACTCTTTTTTTAGGGCTTCATGAGGTTAAATTAGAATTCTGAATGATGACTGATTTAATTCTGCATTGGTTTATGTGACATCTTTCGTTTCCATCCCGATTTTCCTTAGTAAGTCCTTCTGGTTGACTAAGAAAGTAGGAGTAGCCTAGAGGTCAGCTTCACCACAACTACAAAGGCACCATGATGACTTGCAGAAAGCTTGCTTGCTTCAGCCTCTACGTATTATTGTTTTTAATGATTTTATTAAGGGCTCATACAACTCTTATCACAATCCATATGTACATCAATTGTGTAAAGCACATTTGTACATTCATTGCCCTCATCATTCTCAAAACATACTCTCTTCATCACGTAATCTATCCGTGGTATCACTCCGCTCTCCCTTCCTTCCTCTCTCCTTCCCTCCCTCTCTCTCTCATCACTCTTCTCCCTTTCCTCTAGGCTCCAGTCACACGCACACCCTTCCAACCACTGATGACATGGTGACCACTCTTTTCCAAGAACCTCTGCCCTTGCCTTTGTTCCTGCCTAACAAAGCTCCTCCACCAGAACTCCTTGTCTTTTGTCATTTCTGACTCACAGTCAATCCCACAAAAACCATGCTCCCAATACTTGGGGCCAACTGAAAAGGCTGCCTATGTTATAGTTTGGCTTCATTTTAAGTTGTTCTTGGGCTTCAGTGGATGAATATATAACTTGCCATGGCAACTAACAACAATAACATTCAATTTTTAAAAATATCTAATATGTGTTCAATTGAATATATGAGAGGGCCTTCAAAACTTCATGAAAATGTAATTAAAAGATAATAGGGAAAAAAAAGATAATAGAATTATTCCATGATCATTTTGAAACCCTCCCAGTTGTAAATATCTCTTAGATTGAAAACTCCTAAAGATGGGAAACAGTGCCCCATCTATAAGTGTTGCTTTCTTTGTCAAGCAACATGTTCGTGTTTAACTAGTGATGGATTAAAGTGATTATGACATAACCAAAAATCTTGAGAGGATGAGTTGCTGGAGGTAGGTGTACAGGACCATAGTCTTGGGGACACCAAGGTCAATTGACCTAATAAGGTATGATAGTTGGGCTTGGCAGTTGAGGCCTTCCCCATAACGTGATCTAATAGAATGTAATCAACTCCATGATGGAATCTGCTGTGAGCCCTGCTCACAGTCCGCCTACTTCGTATTTAAGTAGAAACCTATGAAGAGCTCCATCCTTCTTGGTGACCTAGATCCAGCTTCTGTAGCACTGATCTCCAATTCTTAACTTAAAGGCCTGTCCTCTTGTCTACCAACCCTGGGAGCTTTGGCCTGCCAACTCAGGGTCCATAAGAACCCACAAACTTTGGATTTGTTTAACGTCAAGCCATACACCTGATCTACTGACACCCACCACCCTCTGGTTTTCCTGCTTTTTCTTCTCGTGTCCATCAACCTCAACCTGGTGCAGGAAGGGCACTGAACTTAACATCTGACCCACAGACTAGATTGGACTAATCC